CCCATGAAGGAGTAAAGAAGGAAGGCAAGGGTGTGAAGCTGAATGTCCCCCACTAACAGCCCTCTGCAGCTGCATTTTTAACCTCTGGCCAGTGAGACAATTCATTGGGTAAAGGTACTTGGCACCAAGCCTGAAAACCTAGGTTTGATCTCCAGGACCTACATGGTAGAAAAGAGATAACCAGCTTCAACAAGTTGTCTTCTAACCGCTACACACATGCTGCAGCACATGTACACACACACACACACACACACACACACACACACACACAAACACACACACTCACACAAATAGAGCAATTTTATAAATTACTCTCAATGTAAGAAATTCATCAGGAGGGCTGGAGAGATGGCTCAGCAGTTAAGAGCACTGCCTGCTCTTCCAAAGGTCCTGAGTTCAATTCCCAGCAACCACATGGTGGCTCACAACCATCTGTAATGAGATCTGGAGCCCTCTTCTGGCCTTCAGGCATACACACAGACAGAATATTGTATACATAATTAATAAATAAATAAATATTTTTTAAAAATTAATCAAGAAATACTGCCACGGAGCTAATAAATTAAAGTGTTTTCTATTTTATCAGCCCCTCTTCTCTTTGGCCGCCCACAGAATGGGCCTGGCTGGCAAGATGAGCCTGAAGCAGCAGCCTCCACCGGCCCCAGTGACCAGCCACCACAGCCTTGCCGACTGCACTCTGTGTGGGCTACAGGGTCTTGTACTGACCTGAAAATGCTTCTTAACCATCTCATCACTTAGCCCCAGGTGCCTCTGGCAGGCACCCAAGTTACAGAAGCAACCAGTCCTCAGGTGGATGTTGTACAGGCTGGCCATTTTGTCTACCTGGGGATAAAGGGAACATGGGGTCAATGTCAGAAGTGTCTAGTTCTGCTATGATTGTCTGGAACAGCATTGAACCTCTCTTTCTTAACAAAAGATGGTAGGCGATCTGAGTCTGGGCCTTGCTCTAAAATTCACGGTTGTTATGTGGCAGATGTAAAAATACCCCCAGGGCCTCACATGCTTAAGCACTTGATCCCCAGATATTGATGGTGTTTTGGGAAGTTGTGGGACCCTGGGTCGGTGGGGTCTTACTGGAAGAAGTAAGCCGCTAATTTGTGGGTCTTTGGAGTTATAATTTAGCCCTTCCTTCCTCTGCTGAGCAGTGAGGAGGTGAGGTACCCAGTTACATCCCCCTGCCACCGTGGAGCTGCCAGCCACCACACACTCGTCCCAGCGATGGACCATGTCACTTCATCTGTGAGTAAAAGTCACCCCTTCCCTGAATTGGCTTTATCAGGTATCTATCACCGTGGTGAGAGAAACAACCGATGTCAGGATCTACAGGTTTATTCAACATTCTATTAAAGTGAATTACAGAAGTGTGCTTGAGAAAATGTCAAATCCAGACCAAAGTCTAAGTGAGGAACCTGTGTATTCCCAGGGAGCCTCAGAGGAATCTCTGAGTTGGGCTGGGGCCATTGCCAGCTCCTTCACATCCGCCACCACAGGGTCTGACCACAGAGCAGGCCCCAGGGAGGCCTGGGCAGCACCAGCTCGGCTCACAGCCCGTGTCACAAGCATCATGTTGGATGCTTTATGACATCTATGTCCAGTTTCTAATTTCTCCAACTTTAGGTTCAATCAAGCTTGCTGCTCAGTCCAGGTGTCATGACACTCTCTGCTGCCCCCTGGAGGCTATGGGGTGTGTGCTGACTGGTCCTAAACCCGGCTCAAACAATTCTCCAGCCCCAGCCTCCAGAGTAGCATTGTGCCACTGTGCATAGCTAGGAAATAGAATCTGTTGTAGTGTAACAAAGCTGCATGTGTTCTAGCGCGTTCAGGAAGAATGAGCAGCATCTTCCAGCTTTAACTGATTGCTGAGTCTGTTCAAAGTCATCCAAGGCTATCTAGTGAGTTCTCCACCAACCCTGCCTACAGGAGACTCTGTGTATAAACAAACAGAGGAACAAATAAGTGTGTTTGAGCCTGGGCTTCCTCACAGCTCCTTCTGGGGACTTTTAAGGAAATGTCAAGAGTAAGAAAGCTTAGACAAGAACATTCCTGGTATAAAAGGATGAGTGTGATGAATTTAGGAAGAGCTGGACCTTGTGACTTGAGTCAGGTATGGTGGCTAACATCTGTAATTTCAGTACTTGGGAAGTATACACAGGAGGATTGCTGTGAGTGCAAGGTCAGTCTGGGCTGGAGTGAGACCCTCCCTCAAAAAAAAAAAAAAGGATGACTCAAATCCCACCTGGGAGTAGCCAATGATGCTCCCACGGTCATCCAATACATTAAAATTGATGATTGGACCCTGCATGTCAGGGCTGCTGAACTCGGAATCACTGTAAATTCGCACCACAGGGGCTCCATTGGGATAGCAGAGAGAAGACAGGGCAGAGTGGGTGTACTGTGCCAGAGCGAAGGTGTGCCTCTGGATGTTCTCCATGCCACCTAGGGACAAAAGCAGAGATACGGACTTCACACGCAAGTCACCCACTCCTGGCTAAGACATGCTTATTACAACCGCTCAACCCAGACCCCAGATAGTGGCTTTAACTATAGCTGTCTTTACAACAAAGTTGATTATTTTTGTTTTGCCTGTGTGGCTTGTGTGTAGTACCTGCTGGGTCCAGAAGAGGGAGTCTGATTTCCTGGAACTGGAGTTATAAGACAGCTTTGAGTCAATATGGGATTGAACCTGGGTCCTCTGAAAGAGAAGCCAGTCTCTTAACTACTGAGCCATCTCTTCAGCCCCAAAGTTGACACTGGATAAGTTTGTCTTTGTTGTTCTTATGGAATATTTCCAGAGGAATTCTTGCTACATTCTCTTAAATATATAATTATACACATTGTATACATATAAGCATGTAGATATATTCATATACATATATATTTGTAGTTACATGCATATAGTTAAACAACATTCCATTATTTAGTTAGACCTTTGTTAGCCAGTGGCAAAAAGTATGCAATATTTTTATCATTTTTGCCCTTAATGATTAAGTTCATTTTTTGTTCTTAATGGTTAAATTGTTTTAACATAATGCATAGCAATTAAAGCTACCTGCTGCCAAATGAATTAACACATGCTAAGTGTTTAAAGTGAGTAATATTGTATTATCATGCCTTTTATATCTAAAAAAAAGTGACTGAAACAGGCAACTCACATAGACAGAAAGTAGGTTACTTGGGGGTAGAGAGAAGGGAGAATCTGTTTAATGACAAGAGCTTCAGTTGAGATAATAAAAAATGTTTTGGATGTGACCTGTGGTGACCACAGTACAGATTGGGAGGAGAATCAGGATGGCCCAATGGGTGAAAGCACTTGCTGAGCACACACGAGCTTGCTGGTCTGAATTTGATGCCTGGAACCCAGGTGAAAAGTCATGAATGTTGCAAAAAGTGGCACAAATCTGTAATCCCAGCACTGCTGCAGTGCAATGGGAGACGGAGATGGGGGAATCCGCAGAAGGTTGCAGGCTAGCCCCAGCACTGTTGCAGTGCGACAGGAGGCGGAAATGGGGGAATCCGCAGAAGGTTGTAGGCTAGCCCCAGCACTTCTGCAGTGCGACAGGAGGCAGAGGCTGGGAATCTGCACAAGGTTACAGGCTAGCCCCAGCACTGTTGCAGTGCGACGGGAGGCGGAGACTGGGGACCCTGCAGAAGGTTGCAGGCTAGCCCCAGGACTGCTGCAGTCTGACGGGAGGCGGAGACTGGGGACCCTGCAGAAGGTTGCAGGCTAGCCCCAGGACTGCTGCAGTCTGATGGGAGGCGGAGACTGGGGACCCTGTAGAAGGTTGCAGGCTAGCCCCTGTACTGCTGACGTGCAATGGGAGGCAGAGACGGGAGAATCTGCAGAAGGGTGCAGGCTAGCTACCCTGAAATGCACAGCACAGCAACAGAAAGGACACAAGAGATGCTGAGGGAGAGAGGGAGAACACACCTAAAACTCTCTCTCTCTCTCTCTCTCTCTCTCTCACACACACACACACACACACACACACACACAATGAATGGTAACACTCGTGTCACATAGTTCTAAAAGCTCTGGAAAGAATTCCCAGGAGCATAGCACACCAGGTGATGCCCGGCTCGCCGGATGTAATCTACTCCAGTCATATGCTTTCACGACCATCCCCGTAGGAAGAGGAGTGGCATCTGCCTGTGTCTTGGCTTCTATAGCTCTTGTCAGGAAAGAGCATGCATCATACAAAAGCTGGTGGAAGAGTGTCCAGGAGCTTGAGGTCAGGCATTATAATAATAACAACTCCTGGGTTTAAATTCTAGCCCTTTTGGGTACCCACGTGCCAGACTGAGAAGGCATTCAATATTTCTGTGATGGCTATTCTTAGCTGTCAACTCGACTATATCTGGAATTACCTAAAAATGGAGGGCATGCCAGTGAGGGATTTCTGCTTAATTTGAAGTAGAACGATCCACTTCTAACCCAGATCTTGAGATTCTGCTGGAACCCATGTAAGGACACGGAAGAAGGAAGCTGTTGCTCTTTGCCTGTTTGCAGTCCATTCCTTCACTAGCATGAGAGCCTACTTCTCTGGAATCCCAGCATCTACTAAAGACCAGTTGAGACATCAGGCCTCATGGACTGAGCGAGTACTGGATTCTCGGACTTTCCATTCACAGCCAGCCATTGTTGGATTAGCTGGAGCACAGCCTAAAACTCATTCTAACAAATCCCTTTCTATACATAGAGAGCGATTCATCCTGTAGGTTCTGTTATTCTAAAGAACCCTGAAGAATACACTTGCTGAGCATACTCTCCATCTGGGGGCAACATGGGTTTGCCAGCAGCTCCCCTGTGGGGCTGTAGAGAAAATCCAGGCAGGCAAGAGCTGATAAGACCTCACCCGGCCCAGGGACCCAGGACCATGCCCCCACCACGCACAGCTATTAATCTTTGGTTCTGGGCATGACCTCTGTTAAAATGTGGTTGTGCCTGGAAAAGCAAAAAAAAAAAAAATCAGCCCTCCCAAGCTCTCCTGAGTACCCTGAAGACATTTAGAATCTGGCTTCACTGCACGGAGAGTCTAGCTACTTAGTGTGTGCCGCTTGTCTCCTCCACACCTATGCGATCTCTTAAGGATACGGCAACGAAAGCTAAGCCCACTTGGGTATGTCCTCTGACCTGTGAGGTGCTCCAGAGCGTCAAATCCATGTTTCAGCGCTATTATAGCAAGGAATGATATGGTGCCATCTTCGAACCTGTAGGGAACAAGCTGTCAATCCACATGCATTCTGTGTTAGGTGAGGGCATTTGGGCATATTAATAGCTCCCTTCTGTGGCTTATAAAACTGGCTCTCCCCACCATGGGAGGAGTTTTGCATGCCAAACCCACCTGGCTGCCTCTGGCCCTAACTAGCTCTGCAGCCTTTACAACTTCTTCACGGTGGGCTGCAGGTGACAGAGGACACTAAAATACAGTCGCTGCCTTGAAATACATCTCGGGAAGAACTTGGACAAACTCTTGAAATACTAAACTCTGACCACCAGAGGGCACCACTGACAGACATTAAGTCAAGCGAGTCCCTGTGAGGCACTTGACAAAGGAGTCTCTAGTTCCAAAGTGTCTGGAAGCACAGGTTTGGGTTAAATACGAAGGTCTCATTAATAACAATGATTGTAACCTTCTTTATTGACAAAGCGTTTGTTATGTTTGCACTTCATAATCATTAACTTCATCAACACTTTCATTAACTCATCTCTGACAGGTCACTGTGCCCCAGGCGTTGTTCCGGGTGCTAAGCACACAGCAGTGAACTGATAAGCAGGCTCCTTTCCCACAGCATCACGGCCTATAAAACAGGGAACAAGGCTCAGCAAACAGAGGCAGAGAAAACAAGCTGCAGTCATGAGGCAGGTTAAACGCAAACACAGAGACGGTGTGGGCAAGCTGAGTCTTTGCTAATGAAAGTCTAAGTGGAGGCTAAGTAAAAGTCAGAAGGAGTCTAACTTCAGAAGATGTCAGCCTGAGAATTTCCACGGGAAAAGGCCTTCTACAGAGAAAGGGAACCTGCATGGTCCTTCACAGAAGCCCAGCGCAGCACCAGGAGGGTCAGGACAGCAGCAGGACAGTGGCAGGAGAAAGGGAATCTGCACGGTCCTTCACAGAAGCCCGGCGCAGTACCAGGAGGGGCAGGACATCAGCAGGACAGAGGCAGGAGATGTTCGATGAGAGATGCTGGACAGCTCTAAGGTGACTTCAGCAAAATCTACACGACCAGGGTGTGGTCAAGAGGATAAAGACTTCAAGGTCACCCTCAGTTGCTGAGTAATGTGGACACTAATCTGGGTTTTGTGATCCAATTGAGAGAGGGGGGGGGGGACCACCTAAGGAGGACAGGCTACAGGGTGATGAGGGAAAGCTTTCACAAACATCCAGATGATAGAAAGCAGGCAGCAGCAGCCATGCACTGAACTGTAAGGTCTAGAAGGTGGAAACATGGTCCGTTCACCCCTTGATACACCTGTGTATTGAGCTTTTCATTTCCAGCTCACTCTAGGGCGTGCAGAGGTGGGCTTAAAAAGGCAAGCAATACTGTCTGTTCTCTGCACATCTAGGTGTGCTCTGGCTAAAAGAGCTCCATCTGAAGCAAAGGAGTGTGGTCTGATGCAGCCCAGCACTCCCATATCTACCCCCTTGAGCTGTTGTCCAAGCCAACAGGTCCCCTAGTTAGCCAGCAGTGTGATGTGAATAAAAATGACCCCAATAGGCCCATAAGGAGTAGCGCTATTAGGAGGTGTGGCCTTGTTGGACTAGGTATGGCTTTCTTGGAGGAGGTGTGTCACTAGAAGGTGGGCTTTGAGGTCTCAGAAGCCCAAACCTGGCCAGTGTGTCACTGACACTTCCTGCTGCCTATGGATCAGGATGTAGAACTCTCAACTCCTTCCCCAGCACCATGTCAGCCTGCATGCGCCCAAGCTTCCCACCATGACTACAATGGACTAAACCTCTGAACTGGAAGGCAAGCTGCAGCCTGCCTTCAGTATTTTGGGTAACTTCTCAGCCTGGCTTGCAGAGGTTGCCACCAACACTGCTTCCCAGGTTTGGGCTTTGGGTTTAGTTAATTCTTGCCGAGGAGCGGAGCAGAGTTCACTCTAGCCACTGGGAAACTGAGTTTGCTGTGAACTGCTTGTGCATGCGTCCAGAGCCGCATCTTTTACGATCCCTGTTTCTCACTATCATCTCTCACCAGTGCCGAGACCAAAGTCCGGCACCCATGGCTTTTCACTCCTTCTTCTTGCAGCTCTCGTCTGCAGATCTGCTCCTCCACCCCGGCGAAGAAGCTACCCACAGGGCAGAGTTCACCCAGCCACCCATGGCACACTCCAGCTGGTCTCTGCCTCCCAAATCTGAGCCCCGCCCCCGACTGTCCTATGGTGACATCGAACTCCCTTGACCTGTGTTCCAGACCTGGGCTCGGCTTGCACAATCTTACCGGTCATTCATGCCAGCTTGCCTTTGTTAAGGACACAGAATATGCCATGGCAAAGTTACCTTTCTGCCACCGACGGCCTGGGGATGTAAAAGTCCTCTCCTGCCAGGTAGGCGGCTGCGGTTCCTCCTCCGAAGTAGCCTTTCCTCAGCAGGGGAGCCACGCGCTTACTGACTAGCAGAGCGCCCAGGCCTGTGGGAAGCCCAAAGATCTTGTAGAAGGAGATGGGGACAAAGTCAGGCTGGTGAGCCGACAGATCCAAGGGGGAGGTGCTGACGTAGGAGGCTGCATCGAGCAGCACAAACCACCTCCCAGGCACACTCACGGGGCTCCTCCGCCCAGACTTGACCTCTTCTATCCATGACAGTGGGTATCTGGTGCCTGAGAAGTTGCTCTGAGCTGGGTAACAGAAGAGGTGTGGGAGCTGACAGTCAGGATCGCAGGCTGCGGCACCCCTTTCCTCCAGTGACCACATGTCCTCTGGCTTGACTGGGGTGGACGTGACATTCATGGCTGAAGCCACCTTCCTCATTCCCACCACAGAGGTATGGTTGTCCGTGAGGTAACAGAAGTGGCTGCCACTGTTCTCTGGGGTCCGGGACACCCACGGAAATGCCTCTGCCACTAGCCTGAGAGCGGCTGTGCTCCCGGCTGTGAAGATCACAGTGTAGTCCTCCGGGGTGGTGTGGAAGTGGGACAGGATCCTGGGAAGAACCACAGTGTCACAGCGGGGCCCCTGCTCCAAACCGAATATTTCCAAGTGTTTTAGGTCTACTCTACAGGGCGTCTCTACCTCCAGGATGCCTAGCCACAGGTGTAGTTGAGGCAGGACAGAGAAAGTCACACCCTAGAGGCTGGCCTTGAACTTTCTATTTGGCTAAGGATAACCTTGAGTTCTTACAAAGATCAAATTTAAACCTCTTGCCTCTGGAGTCCCATCTCTGCTTAGACACAGCAGAATTTACAACACAGGGTTGAAGCTGAAGCTTGCCTAAAACCCAAGAGTTCTGGGTTCACTCACAAGTATTTCATAAACCCACGGTGGTACTGTATCCTGCCAATACCAAAATTCAGGAGGTAGAGGCAGGAAGATGATAAATTCAAGGACATCTTCAGCAACCTAGTTAGTTCAGAGCTAGTCCAAGATACATGAGATCCTGTCTCAAAAAAAAAACAAAACCAAAACCAAAACAACAAAAAAAAAATCTCCAGAGCAGACTCAGGTACAAGATCAGACCTTCTTAATAAATGAATTCCAATTTTTTTAAAATCTGTAAGGGAACTGGAAAGATGACTCAGCATTTTAAAGCTTTTTTTTTTTTTTTTTTTTTTTTTTTTTGGTTTTTCGAGACAGGGTTTCTCTGTGGTTTTGGAGCCTGCCCTGGAACTAGCTCTTGTAGACCAGGCTGGTCTCGAACTCACAGAGATCCGTTTGCCTCTGCCTCCCGAGTGCTGGGATTAAAGGCGTGCGCCACCACCGCCCGGCCTTTAAAGCATTTATTGTTTCTGCAAAACACCCGAGTTTATTCCCAGGCACCCACCTGGCAGCTCATAACCATCTACAACCCCAGTCCCAAGGGTCCTAACACCTTCTTCTGACCTGTGCATGAGGCATGAGCATAGAGCACATACATATACATGTGCTGATATTTTGTTTGTGCTCTAACAAATAAAAACTTGCCTGAAGATCAGAGGGCAGAGATAGGCACCAGTTAGCCACAGAGACCAGACAGTGGCAGCACACACCTTTAATTCCAGCACTCTGGAGGTGGAAGCAGGAAGATCAGGAGTTCAAGACCACCCTGGGCTACAAGAGATTTAACCAGTCTAAAAGAAAAACAGAGCTCATACCTTTGATCCTAGCATTAGGGAAGTGGACAGGAAGTAATACAGCTGGGCAGGGAGGGGAATATAAGGCGGGAGGAGACAGAAGTTTAGCCCCTTTGAGGATTTGATAGAGGTAAGAGCCCTAGTGACTGGCCGCTCTGCTTCTCTGATCTTTCTGCTTTCACACTCTAATAGCTGACTCTGGGTTTTTATTACTAAAAGCAATTAGAATTCATCTACATGTATATATAGGCAAAACACTCATACACATCAAATAAAATAAATAATTCTAAACAAAGTTTTATATCTACAATAACCTGAATATTTTGTACTTTGCCTTCATCTTTGTACTTCTGCCTATTCTATCACCATGAATTTTTAAAATATACTTATTCATTATTTTCTCATGTGTGGGTCTGAATATATGTATGTGCACCATGCATGTGCAGAAGCCCGTGGAACACAGAAGAATAAGATCCCCAGGAATTCATGATGGGCAGTTAAGAGCACCTTGTGGGTGCTGGGAACAAACCTGGGTCCTCTGCAAGAGTAGTAAGCACTCTAACCTCTGGGCCGCCTCTCCAGCCTCTAACACAGTGAACTTTAGTTCAGCAGTCTGTTTTACATTGCTTTTACTACTGCTGCCCTGATCCAAAACGAGCATCACTTTCAAATTTGAAATAATTTGAATTCTGTTGATTTAAGTAACATACCTTGTAGATATTATTTACCAGAAACCAGTTATTATGCGTGGGGAACAATGAAAGATCTCTCTAGATGCAAAACCTAGTGAAAATAATGGGAGAGTTGAGCATAGCGGTGCACGCCTGCAGTTCCAGCGCTTGGACATCGGAGGCAGGAGGACCAGGAGTTCATGGCCAGCATTGCTACAAGGGAGCTAGAGGCAAGCTACCAGATAGCCTGTCTCAAGATGATAATGGGATTATGAAGACATAAACCTGACTTATAAAACAGAAAGAGAAAGGAAAACCAGAAAATGGTGCTTCTTCCTGAAGACACAGCTGGAGCCTGGGCCACTCCTGTCACTCCAGCCCCCACTCAGAGCCGCCATCCCTGCTGTACTTAGGCATACCCTCTGTCTTCTGGACTCCTCTCTATTGCCATTCATATGTTGCTTTTGAACCCCCTCAGAAGGTCTGTGGGACACAGGCCTCTGCTAGAAGGCCCGTCCACCTAGGTAGCATCTTAGGCAGACATCCCTGGGGCTCACCTGTAGCGGACCTGCTCCACGGTGTCATGGGTGAGTTTGCTGGTGATGTTCTGGCTGTGAGGATTGCCTGGCAGGTTACAGAGACAAAGCTTTAATTATCTTTAATTGAAAGTCATAATGAGATGGTCTCTCCCTGTCTTCCTTCAGAGCCCTCTCCCTCCACTTCTCAAGAACTTAAACCGTAAAAGTCACATATGGTCCAACAATTCCACTCCTGGTCCATACTCAAAAGGAAGAAATGCTTATATCCATATAGACTACACAAGTGTTCATACCAGCTCCATTCATAAAGCCAAATTCTGGAAGGAGAAGAAATGGCCAGTGATTGTGAACAGACAGACAAAGTACAATAATCCCCACACAGTGGGCAACTATTTAACAACAAAAGAAAAAGAAAAAAAAAACACTGACTATGACAGGAATGAACATCAAAAACATACTAAGCTTTTTTTATAGTACAGAAGGTACTGTGCTGGTTGTTGGGAGAAAAATTATGCCCACCACTGCAATAGTGGTGTAACTACAATGAAGGCAGCCAGCTGCTTTCTGATCAAGGCCGTGGGATCACATCTGGAACTGTAAACCTGACCAAAAGCCTGTGGCTAGGGATGCCATAGGCCCTGGTAGGGCACCTATAATTGTTACTCTAATAAACAGACACCATGTGTCTTTCAAGCTGCCTTCTAAATATTAGAATTCATGTCCATTCTTTCTACCGCAGCTAGCAGCCTGAGGGACTTGGCAGACATTCCCATTGCTTTTTCCCTCAGGTCAGTTTTTAACCCTGTGTCTTTAGGACCACCTGGACCACCTGGATCTTGAAGCTGCCATTTCTCAGGCTAACCATTCTCCCACAGCTATGGCTTTTGTCAAGGTTGCAGGATGATTTCATGTCTCTTTGCAAATCATAAATGAAAATCAAGATAAAATCCCTTAGGGGCCCCTTCTCTGGGGACTTCCTCAGATTTAAAGAGCTCCTGACTGTCCAGAGTAAAGACTCAAACCCCTGTGTGTACCTGTAGCATAACAGGACTGTCGTGAACAAGGGCATCTTGGGGTGGGAAGACCAAATCCCCTAGAGATAAATAGCTCCTGTGGCCCTGTTCCCTCAACTCCAGAACTTTGAGAATGTATAGCATTAGGTTAGTTACTTGCCCTTTCTGGGGCTCCGTTTGTTCACATGTAAATCAAGATATTGGGAGACTATTCCTGGGGAGACATCAAACATCAGAGGCAGCATTGAGGCAAAAGAAAAATTCCACCCAAGACCAGATTGGAGAACCAGTGAGTTTCCTGAGGTCACTCACAAAAGTGTGGGTCACTCAACGGTAGATACACATCCCCTGGGCAAGTTACAGGCAACTTTACCAACTACAGAATGGTCCCAACACAACCAGTTGTTTTTCTTTTGTATAAACCCTGGGGATCTTGAGAATGCTACTGAATCCTGTGAGCCCGTCCATTAGCCTTCCCCAAGGGACCATCAGTGGGTCCCATCCTGTGAGGAACTCTTACAGGTGACCAGAGGTCCTCTGATTCAAGATGGAGGCCATGTCCTACCTGGAGGAGACAGCTCACAGCTACACTACATAAACTTAATAGCACAACCCATGGCTCTTGGGGTGTCATACAGATGCATGACAATATACATTGCCACATAGTTAGGCAGCACCTGATATGACAAGTGCTCAGTGAGCGGTGTATTGATCAACTGATATCAGCGTCATTTGTCTCTTTCGGTTTATCTTCTGAGCACACTATGCTGATGCTTCCTAGAATAATGGCCAGCACAGCATCACCTACAGAGGCCTGAGTGGCCCTACCCCATCAGCCTATCCATTCAGACTTTCATTCTCCTCCCCTCTGTGGTCCTAGATCCTGGTTTTTGCTGCTACAGCTTCCTGCGTGGTGTCTCCTGTTGTCCCAGTGAATTCTGGCTCATCAGCCAACATCAGCTCCCCTCCCAACCCCCCTAACATGCACACTGCAAACCCTACTGTCTTTCTGCAAACTCAGGTGACCATGATGCCAGCCTCCTTTGTGCATTGCCTTTTGAACAGTTGCTAAGCACATGTAGGGGAGATCGTTTGATGAAGGTCTTGTCCTCCAGGTCTGGACCAGAGTCTCCACCAAGAAAGGAACTATGTTTTCTTCTGATTTCATAGCACAAACCACACACCATAGTGACTCAAGGAATGTATAGCATGAGTGAATGAATGTTCTTCATGCTCCCCTACCCTCTGCTCCCCTACCCTCTGCACCAGACAGTGTTAAACTACCCCAAACATGGCACTTTCTTTTTTTTAATCATCTTTTTTTAAGATTTATTTATTTATTATGTATACAACATTACCCCAAACATGGCACCTTCTTTTTTTATCATCTTTTTTTAAAGATTTATTTATTTATTATGTATACAACATTCCTTCCATGTATTCTTGCATGCCAGAAGAGAGCACCAGATCTCATTATAGATGGCTGTGAGCCACCATGTGGTTGCTGGGAATTGAACTCAGGACCTCTGGAAGAGCAGTCATTGCTCTTAACCTCTGAGCCATCTCTCCAGCCCCCAACATGGCACTTGCAAACTTAAGATTCTCTTCCTGACACCAACCCATTCTGGAAGTGGTCTGTGTATCCCTGAGCTGGAACTTTCTACCTCAAGTACATGTATATGTGCATAGTGACCCAGGGTGCTGGCCTGACCCTTTATCTGACATGGGTCTGATTTGTTCCATGTACCCCTATGTACTCCATGAATCCAACATAACTAAACACAGATTAATTGATTAATCAGCTGTGTGCAGTTGTCTAAAATCTGTGCGTGTGTGTGATATTCCTTACCATAGACATTTTCCATGAGATCCTTAGTAAAGTTTGTGAGCTGGCTCTGGGGAAACAAGGTGGCTCCTGCATGGTCAAGGTAGACAGTTCCTGAAAAATATTAATTACAAATAAAGCTGCAGGTGCTTCTCCACACTTTATGTAAATTTGACCCGTGTGAATACACCAGTACCCATTCTTTTATTTCATTTTGTCTCCATTTGTTTCTTAGTTTGTTTTTGAGACAGGACTTCACATATCTCATGCTGGCCTCAAATTCTCTATGTGGTCAACGAATGCCTTTGAATTCTTAATCCTCCTGCCTCCACCTCCCCAGAGCTGGGACTCCAGATGTGTAGACCACAGACACCTTTCAACACAGCTGGTATCCCTGAATTTCTTGGTGTGTGTTTCTTAATATACACTCGCAGCACTGAGGAGCCTACCTGATAAACAGCCCTCTCACAGCCAGGAAGTGCCCAGCAGACCTTGAGTTTCATGGTCATTCTGGAAGCTGAGTGTTTCCAGGGAAAGGGGAGCTCTGACCTTTCAAATGCATACAATAGGAATAAATCTATTTGTTTTTTAATTCACTTACCAGTTTTTTTGTTTTATTTTTTGGTGGGGTTTTTTTTTGTTTGTTTGTTTGTTTTTTGTTGTTGTTGTTTTTCGAGACAGGGTTTCTCTGTAGCTTTGGTGCCTGTCCTGGAACTAGTTCTTGTAGATCAGAGATCACAGAGATGGGCCTGCCCCTGCCTCCCAAGTGCTGGGCTTAAAGGCGTGCACTGCCACCACCTGGCTTTTTTTTTTTAAGATTTATTTATTTATTTATTATGTATACAGTATTCTGTCTGCATGTATGCTGCAGGCCAGAAGAGGGCACTAGATCTCATTACAGATGGTTGAACTCAGGACCTCTGGAAGAGCAGTCGGTGTTCTTAACCTCTGAGCCATCTCTCCAGCCCTAGTTTTGTTTTGTTTTTTGGTTTTTTGTTTTGTTTTGTTTTTTTGGATAATGCAGGGTCCATTTTTGTTTGCAACAACTTCATCAAGATATAACCCACATACCACACAAAAAAAAAAATCCATCCTCTGTAAGCGGACAGCTTAGTCGCTATAGTGTGTGTATATTACCTAATTCTGGAACATTTTATTCACCGCCCCCCACCATCACCATTATTAGTCATATCTCCACATCCTCACGTAAGTAGTGTCTGAAAATGAGAATGTTATGGTTCCCCTTCATAGGAAGAGGGGGCACATATGTATTAACACAGACAACTGCTGGAGAAGCACACGGGTGATAGCCACTGGCCCTGGGGTGGCACTGCAATGGCAGTGGAGCCCAACGGCAGTGCCTTGGCCGTTCTTCTATCTCATTTGTCATCTTTTGAATTTGATGCCACCAAAATGCATCATCTAATCTCCCCAATGTATTTAAAGTGCTTTCTTGGACAACCATGTTCCAGATGGTCCCATACCCACAAGTATGTTGTGGTCAACACAAATTGAATTTAGTGGATATTAATAATAATAATAATAATAATAATAATAATAATAGACAACACAGAGTTTGGAGGATGTTAAAAGGTGGAAATTAAGTCTGGGAGGAGCTGGGGGAGAAGTGGAGGATGAATATAATCAAAATACATTATATAGAATTCTCAAAGAATTAAAAACATCTTTTTAAAAATAACTCTTTTATTATTCACTGAAGACTGTGAAATACAAATTCACCAGACTGAAAGAAAAGCTTTGGACATCTGATAGTCAATGTACTAAGATGTTCACGTGAGAGCATTGGCTCCTCTTCAATTCCCAGCACCCACACGGTGGCTCACAATTCCAGTCTGAGGGAATCTGATGCCCTCTTGTGGCCTCCACAGGCACCAGCCATGCATGTAATACAGAGATGTATGCCAGACAACATGCCCATCCACGCAAATACATCCTTAAATTTTAATTATAACCCTTAGAAAGATCTTCAGGCGAAGATCAAGGTGAGACCCCGACTCTGAGGAGCACTGTTCATCTTGCTCAGAATCTTCCAAGAAACTAGGAAGTCATTCAGGAAGATCCTGCTTTGTTTGGCTGGGGTTCAATGGTTAATCTTGCAAAAGAAGGCAACTGAGTTAGGTGAACCAGAGATCTGATCTTAGGAGGCCAACAGGGTAAATCCAAGTTAACCAGCCAGAGAGAATCTTGGCTCACCCCCCCCCCCAGGCCTTTCTGGACCCCTGTTGTGACATCTGCAAGAGGAATGATGGTTTAGTAGGTAGTTGACAGTACCCGGCTGGATGCCTGGAACACAGTAAACACAGTTTTCAGAGTGAAGAAAAGCAGGCAACTGATCCGAAAGCCAACTAGCTTTAGATCTGTTTAAAAAGAGAAGTCAAACAACTTTTAGTTTCTTTGATATACTTGGCTATTTCATTAGCTATCTGGTTCTAAGAAATTAATATTCAGAGATAGATAGAGAAGAGGTGGGGGGAAGGGGGAAAGAGAAAGAGGGAAGGAACTGGGAGAGGAGGAAGGAGAGAGAGAGGCCAGGATTTCTTCTGGGCCATGCACCTTTAATCGCCAGTCAGCACCTGATGCTGGACGACCTGCTCCAGTCACAGCTGGATACTCAGTATACCCC